TGAGATCATTTTTACTTTTTAATATTTGTCCACAATTGTCATATCATTACTAAATCTGATGATTATTTTCACTGTTTTTGGCCTAAATGTCAATACAAAACACATAATAAACATTCTTTGGAAAGTCATAAAACAAGTCATTGTGAAAAGCAATTTAAATGTGATTTTACTAATTGTAATAAATTGTATTCAAGTAAAGATTCTTTAATTGAACACAAAAATGGCTTTCATTTAAAAGTGAGATTTGTTTGTGATTTCAATGAATGCCACAAAAGTTTTAAAAATAGAAGAAATTTATTTCAACACAAAAGTTGTGTTCATTTGAATAAAAGGAAATTTAAATGTAATGAAGAAAATTGTGGACAAATATTAAAAAGTAAAAATGATCTCAATAATCACAAACGTATTCATTCGGGAGAAAAACCATTTAATTGTCATTTCAATGATTGTGACAAACGTTTTCGCACAAAAACTGTATTAAAAGATCACATTAAAAGACACAATAATATTAAAAACCATAAATGTATTCATAATAACTGTAATCAAAGGTTTGTTAGGAAAAGTGAATTGAAACAACATTTAAATAGGAAACATGTAAATTGAAATGTGTGCCTATTGATTTAAAACTCTTATCCATCGAAAACTAATAAACTAGTTAAACAACCAACACTAAATGTTTACGATTGCCTCTTCACTATTTAGCATTATTTTAAAAACTATTATTAATATTATTATTAAAAATTGTATTTTTAACAACAAATATTATTTTCAATTTTTATGAATATAATAAATGATATATTTAATAAATGCATTGATATTTATAATTAATTAAACATATAAATAACTTGTAAATAATCAATTTGCAAGTTGTAATTTGTGAACAAATTTGATTTCATAGTGTTTAGGATTTATACTGTCGGCAATATTAGGTTCGGGGTCTATACCCGAGTGTTTGGCCAAAACTATATCGTATTGTTGTGTTGATTGAAGAAATGAGACCAAAACCAGGAACAGGTCAGCGATGGCTAACTTCTCGCCCAAACAGACCCGACGGCCCACACCGAAGGGGATGAATGCCTTATTACGGGATGTCATGTATTGGCCGTCGCTCTCCAGAAATCGCTCCGGTATTAACTGATCCGGATTTTCCCAAAACTTCGGATTGTTTAGTATATTGTGGTGATATAATGTCACTGCAGTACCCTTTGGCACAGTATAATCACCTGTAGTTTAAAAGAATACTGATTAGTATTAAATTGAGATTAAATAAAATGAAAATTAATACCAATTTTTGTCTGAACAACAGTTTTATGCAATGGACTCAATGGCACAACATTTCTGAATCTCATGGTCTCAGCGATAAAAGCCATTATAAAATGGCATCGATTCCTGTCCTCATGTGTTGGCATTCGGTCTCCGATTTGGGACTCAATCTCTTGTCTCAACTTTTGCTGCATTTCTGGATAATAGCAGAGGAATAACAAAAGCCATTGAAATGTCTGTTGAGAGGTATCGGTTCCGGCGAAGAATAGATCAAATATAGTCATTGAAAGGTTATCATCGGTCAGATAGGGTGCGGACTCTTTGCCGTCTCTGAGGGCGTCATTCTTAGCACTGATGAGTGCATCGCAAAAGTCTCGTTGAGACGACTCGTCAAAGTCCTCGTAGTGTTTGACAAACTTATTCTTCAACATATCTAACATATCATTCATAATGCGTTTCTGTTTGTCTGCCATACCCTTAAACACATATCGGGCCACTGGAAGCACTTGTAGTAATAGAAATTTAGTGCTATTTTCACGCATAAAATCTTTCATAACGTATTTGATTTGCTTGTATTCCTTGTTATTTGTGTCGTAACTAAATTACATTTTTAAAACAATTTAAAATTAAACATCGTATTAATTTATAGACATGAATGGCAAACCTTTTGCCGAAAGCACTGGTGGACAGGATATTGAAAAACATTTGATAGATATAATCGGTGGCAACGAATGGCTTATTAAGTCCCTCGTTGTCGACCATCATCTCTACCGTCCGCTCCACACAATCCCTCACAAGTAATACTAGTTTATCACTCGTTGAATATTTCCTAATCAAATAAATATTACGATTAAAATCATTACTCACTTAGAATGTAAAAACAAAAACAAAACAAAATAAAATACTGACTGAACGGCTGAATGACCGACACGTCTGAGCGCTTCCCACGTATGGCCGTAATCGGCGCCCACTATATCCGATCGCTTCCCATTGTTTACCAACTCAACTATGAACATAAAAATTACCATGATTAGGTTTTGATAATAATTACCGCCACTTTTATTGCATACATAGATAGATATTATAACGTCCGGCGGCATCGTTCTTGCGGAACAGCTCTTTACCCAAATCAATATCATTTATGACAATAACGGGATCGCCTGACACCCAGAAAGTCAATATATCACCATATTTTTCAGTATACTTTGTTAGCTCGTCAGACCAATGGCCTTTTGTTCCCTTTAGATCTATTTAGATAAAATATAAATTAGTCATGATCATATTTTTACTTTTATTATTATTTACGTAATATGCTTCCCAGCAGTGGCACCGGTATGGGTCCGGGCGGCAGTTGATACACACGGGTATAAAATTTGGCCAATTTATACACAATATATCCAATTATGATGGATATAATGGCTGTGCGAATGTCCACCGAAATCACATGCAATAGACTCGTTAGGATTGACATTATATTTAGTTATATTCACAAAAGAATTTTAAATAAAAATTAACTTAAAATATAATATTTTTTATTTGTATTTTAATAGTAAGTGATTAAATGAATGGGAAATTCTTTATATTTCTAGTAAATAAAATTTTGAAGGTTACCGAGACGTCACACTATTATGCCATACATTCATTGTGTAGACTTGTATCTTAGAGATAATATTTTGACGGTCATACTGCCCTATCTGCACTCAAACCATTATTATATCATAAATGTAAAAAGTACCCTGTTTAGTTAAATATGTTTACCATTTTCTTTCTATACCATATAATTTATATATTTCTTATGTGTATATAAGCATCAATAAGCATTTAATATACATGTACTTTATATTATCAATGTTTATAAATTAATATTGATATATTAAAATAAAAATTTGGTTTTATTATTAATAATTAATGCGCTAACATCCATCCAATTATCCTACTATATTTTGATAACTTTTAAATACGTTTTTTCTAAATTAACATTGATTACAATTACAATATTCCCGCAAGCATCCTTGATAAAAACTAATCTAAATTTACTTTAAGAAACCAATTTTATAAATTGGTTTAATAGTATTTTAAACTGTCCTAGTTGTTATAATTAATAATGATTATTAAATTTGATAACTGATTAGCTTTTTGTATAAATTTTATAAATACATATTTGATCATGTTTTCATATGAAATATTTTATTTTTAAAAACAACTTTAAGAATTTTGTATTAATTTTTGAACAAGTTTGAGTTCATAATGCTTAGGATTTATACTGTCGGCAATATTAGGGTCGGGGTCTATACCCGAGTGTTTGGCCAAAACTATATCGTATTGTTGTGTTAATTGAAGAAATGAGACCAAAACCAGGAACAGGTCAGCGATGGCTAACTTCTCGCCCAAACAGACCCGACGGCCCACACCGAAGGGTATGAATGCTTTATTATGAGATGTCATGTATTGGCCGTCACTGTCTAGAAATCGCTCCGGTATTAACTCATTGGGATTTTCCCAATATTTTGGATTATTTAGTATATTGTGATGATATAAAGTTACTGCTGTATCCTTTGGCACCGTGTAGTCACCTGTAGTTTAAAAGAGTAAATATTAATTAGTATTTATATAAGATTAAATAAGATGAAAATTAATACCTATTTTTGTCTGGACAACAGTTTTATGCAATGGACTCACGGGAATCACATTTCTGAATCTCATGGTCTCAGCGATGAAAGCCATGACATAATGGCATCGATTCCTGTCCTCATGTGTTGGCATTCGGTCTCCGATTTGGGACTCAATCTCTTGTCTCAACTTCTGCTGCATTTCCGGATAGTATGTCATCA